GGTGACAGTGCCGTAGACATAACTTAGATGTCCTCGGAGCTTCAGGAGAGGTGACAGTGCCGTAGACAGTGACAGTGCCGTAGACATAACTTAGATGTCCTCGGAGCTTTAGGAGAGGTTACAGTGTCGTAGACAAAGCTTAGATGTCCTCGGAGCTTCAGGAGAGGTGACAGTGCCGTAGACAGTGACAGTGCCGTAGACATAACTTAGATGTCCTCGGAGCTGCAGTAGAGGTTACAGTGCCGTAGACATAACTTAGATGTCCTCGGAGCTTCAGGGGAGGTTACAGTGCCATAGACAAAACTTAGATGTCCTCTGAGCTTCAGGAGAGGTTACAGTGTCGTAGACAAAACTTAGATGTCCTCGGAGCTTCAGGGGAGGTTACTGTGCCATAGACAAAACTTAGATGTCCTCGGAGCTGCAGGGGAGGTTACAGTGCCGTAGACAAAACTAAGATGTCCTCGGAGCTTCAGGAGAGGTGACAGTGCCATAGACAAAACTTAGATGTCCTCGGAGCTTCAGGGGAGGTTACAGTGCCGTAGCCAAAACTAAGATGTCCTCGGAGCTTCCGGAGAGGTGACAGTGCCGTAGACATAACTTAGATGTCCTCGGAGCTTTAGGAGAGGTTACAGTGTCGTAGTCAAAGCTTAGATGTCCTCGGAGCTTCAGGAGAGGTGACAGTGCCGTAGACATAACTTAGATGTCCTCGGAGCTTTAGGAGAGGTTACAGTGTCGTAGTCAAAGCTTAGATGTCCTCGGAGCTTCAGGAGAGGTTACAGCGCCATAGACAAAACTTAGATGTCCTCGGAGCTTTAGGAGAGGTTACAGTGTCGTAGTCAAAGCTTAGATGTCCTCGGAGCTTCAGGAGAGGTGACAGTGCCATAGACATAACTTAGATGTCCTCGGAGCTGCAGGAGAGGTTACAGTTCCGTAGACATAACTTAGATGTCCTCGGAGCTTCAGGACTGGTTACAGTGCTATGGACAAAACTTAGATGTCCTCGGAGCTTCAGAAGAGGTTACTGTGCCATAGACAAAATTTAGATGTCCTCGGAGCTTCAGGGGAGGTTACTATGCCATAGACAAAACTTAGATGTCCTCGGAGCTGCAGGGGAGGTTACAGTGCCGTAGACATAACTTAGATGTCCTCGTAGCTTCAGGAGAGGTTACAGTGCCGTAGACATAACTTAGATGTCCTCGGAGCTTCATGTCCTCGGAGCTTCAGGAGAGGTTACAGTGCCATAGACATAACTTAGATGTCCTCGGAGCTTCATGTCCTCGGAGCTTCAGGAGAGGTTACAGTACCATAGACATAACTTAGATGTCCTCGGAGCTTCAGGACTGGTTACAGTGCTATAGACAAAACTTAGATGTCCTCGGAGCTTTAGGAGAGGTTACAGTGTCGTAGAAAAAGCTTAGATGTCCTCGGAGCTTCAGGAGAGGGTACTGTGCCATAGACATAATTTAGATGTCCTCGGAGCTTCAGGAGAAGTTACAGTACCGTAGACAAAACTTAGATGTCCTCGGAGTTGCAGGAGAGGTTACTGTGCCATAGACATAATTTAGATGTCCTCGGAGCTGCAGGAGAGGTTACAGTGTCGTAGACAAAGCTTAGATGTCCTCGGAGCTTCAGGAGAGGTTACTGTGCCATAGACAAAACTTAGATGTCCTCGGAGCTGCAGGAGAGGTTACAGTACCATAGACAAAACTTAGATGTCCTCGGAGCTTCAGGAGAGGTTACAGTACCATAGACAAAACTTAGATGTCCTCGGAGCTTCAGGAGAGGTTACAGTACCATAGACAAAACTTAGATGTCCTCGGAGCTAAGAATGCAGATTCATTTTAAGGATTCTTGTTAGACCGTGTAAGGTATAAATGCTCCCCGATATACCTTGATGAATTTTAAGTCTTAACACAACAACATACATATCATAAAGAAACATGCTTGCATAAAATTAATTGAAAATATCCTTTGCTGTATTAACAAATATTCATCTCCAGACCGTCAATTGGAGACTGGTTAAGACTTTTAAGGTTCCGACACGTACCAATCTATCTTTCGGTGTCTACCGAAGTTGTTACAAATGACAACGAGTCGACAACGCAAAAAGATATGTTTATTTTAGGTAACCTTGTATTTACGTGCTATTGCATCCACTTTTATTCCTTGAAATTAAGAAAAACACATGTCTGTTTTCACGTTTCACCGTCATGAGAACAACATGAATTGAACAGCCTTTTTCGCGGGAAAGATTATGTGTTGTCAACGGTGACGAAATACACAGTTGAGCAATAAACAAATAGTTCCACTTTGCATATTTTTTAATAATCTAATTTATATTACCAGCATGTTTAACAAGCATTGATTAACTTAAAAATTGACAGTAGATCTTAATTTAAAGCAAAAATACCCAATAAAATATTTTAGTCGCAAAAAGTCAGAAATTTATTCCGTGTTTGCGGAGATATATAGCTGACCGTTAAAAACCGGTTGTGCAGCGGCTTCGCGCATCAGGCCACGAAGCGGTTGGACTTTCAACGAGGTAGGAAAGTGCGTCCTAGAAATGTAGAGTTTCCTAAGAAACCAGATGACCATTTAAAAGATGCTGTTGGCTCATCGTTTGAGCATTCGGCATGGGTTACTATCGATGAGGGACTGGCCGACGAGCCGGGACGATTTCACCTGCTTCACCACTTGCAACGGACGCTAGAGTAGGTTCTAGAGGACAGACAATTATTCTGTTCTGTTAAAAAAGACCTGTTATAGATCTTATAGCAGACACGCTTCGGTGGCCCGACACAAACATGATGTGCCTTGATTCAAAACCACAACCATTCCGTATCCTAGGGACACGTCCGCGACGTCTGTGTCCTGGAGCACAGGGGTTCGTTACAAATGTCTGGAATTAGCACACGATGTATTATAGACTTTGAGTACGCCGACTTTACGTATGTTATCTATATCTCTGAACAGAACTTGCATCTACAAAAACTTGTTGAAATCTCACAATTGTCATTTTTATCATGTATTACAATTCGCAATATACAAATTAATACTGAAAAAAATCACATTTTACAAAAACTGTTTTGCTCCACCAAAGCGTACATGTAGCTATAGGTGAAGATAACGTTTTTGGATTAAGTTATGTAGTTATGTGCACAGGGGCTCGGTTTCGGGATTTTGAGTAATATATGACGTACATGTGAACTGTTATGATTTTGGTTAATAATACACGTATACACAAGTCAGCCTAGTGAATGATTATGTTCGGTGTCTACAGATGCTTTTGATGAACATGTATATGCTATCGTTGCCTGCTGAATATTTCAGACTAATGTTGGGGGGGGGGGGGGGGGGGGGGGTCAGATGTCATGTAGTACTGTGTAATTTTACTACACACTTGCTTTCATTGAATCATGCAAACATTTTGAGTTGGTACTGTTATCCAGAGGCACAAAAGTAAATATTAGTATTTAAGAACATTGATGAAACTTAAGTTGCGCAACATCTCATTGAAAAGATTTCAGATTATGTACGTTCTAATGATCAAGAAATATCTTAAATTTTTCGAGTTTTGAAATAGATAAAGCCCCTGGAATCAATGGTGTTAGTTAACATAAGTTACATGTAAAATCATGGCACACACGGTATGACATTCTCAAGCTTATAAACTTGCAAATCAAATGTGCATATTTACGCATATCATCTACATACCTTAAAATAGAAACTGCCTTAAAACTAAATCTCGATTTTCGCCTACATATTTAGTAGGCGAAAATATGTCAAGTTGATAATAATGTAAGCCATCTGAGTGTTGTGATTATCTCTAATGCAAGAATTTGATAATTTAAACGACTATTTAACAGGCAAAAGTTAAACTTTTAGCATTTAACATACATTTGGATTTGCTTTTCAGCGCAGAAGGTACATTAACATCTGTTATATGAAGACAATTTCAGTTCTCACTGGCATTCGGAACAGTGCATGTCCCAAGGTGACATTTTGGTAAAAATATATAGGTTTCATTTGCCATTTAATTCAATTCAGTTTATTCCAAAAGCAGTACAACTTATATGAGTATCACCATGTAATAGCATGCATGTGTTAAACATAGTAAATGGATTTTATACAAAATAACGGAGGCTGAATGATGTGTAACAATTTCGCTCCGTGTCATAAATCGTGCAATTAATACATGTACTATACAATACAACAGGATATTTAAGCAATAAACTTTATAGATGTGGCAGACCAACTGGTATACAGTTACAGTCAGGTCAGGTCAATATCTAGAACGGCACGAAGATAACAGCGGACGTCACGCGCTATTTCCCATACAAAAATTGAAAAGACTTAAAACGCAACTTTCGTCAATAATTCCTTTGTTTTTAATTTATATATTTATTACTCTCAATTCATAAAAGAGATTGTCAACAGGTGGAATTCTATTATAGGATAAACTAGAAGAAATCCGTCTGAAGATCACCCTGCCTTTATCATCATTACGTAATCAATAATAGGTTGATGTAAAAGATCAAGTGTATATGTACACGTATGTAAGTATTTTGGTAAGTTTCCTGCCTGTCAGAGTACACAGGCTGTCTATGATATCTTATATTGGCGGATCCAGAGATCTATGGGGGATGGGGGTTGGGGGGGG